TAATGAAATCAAGAGGTGAAGCAGATCTTGAAGTATTTTAACAGTAACTAAGGATAGAACCCTAAAGAAGAAAGGGGAAGGAGACTGGTCAGAGGAATAAAATGAGCTAAAGTTAGCAACTTCAGATTAAAAAAAGCAAACCCAAGAAGAAAATGATGAGTAGCTTTTGTGGAACTATTTGAGATCTCTCTCTCTTGAGGGGAGCTAAAATGGTGAACTTCAGATCTTTAGTTAGCTTTTCCTTATTTTTCTTTTTTTTGTTCTCATTTTTAAAGTTTTTAACTTTTTTTATATGGAGGGGGGAACTTGACCAAGGTGGGAAGCATACAGAAGTGAAATATTAAATGTGAGGTAACTTGGGGAAAGTAAAAATCAATTATTGCATTATTGTTTGTTAGTTTAAAATGGAGGGATCCACTCTGCTGTGAACGAACCGATTCAAACCGAGCTTGGGTTGTTCGAGCTTGTGTTCGTTTACGTTCGATACATATTTGTTATTCTAGCTGTCTTACATTACAATAATGACAATTCAGGTAGTTCAACCCAAGCATCCAATTAGCTCTGCTTGAATATCATTGAAGCCCTTTTATTTAAGCACACATAATTTCAGCAATATTGTGCTCCAGATTTACAATTATAATTTCAACATTTTTAATGATCTATACTTTTTGTCACTTATATGTGGTCTATGGTTTGAATTTATTGTTTTTTGAAGTACACAAAATAATGAGCTCTTCAAGTTCAACAAGGACAAGGAGAGAAGCCAGTGTTTTTTGTTTCTGTGGCAAAGTGGCTCGATTACAAACTTCATGGACCCCTGCCAACCCAGGTAGGAGGTACGTGGTTGTAGCGAAAATGGTTGTACCTTTTGGAATTGGTTTGACCCTCCTATGTGTGCAAGATCAAAAGAAATAATTCCCGGTTTGTTGCGTAAGGTAAACCGGTTAGAAGCGGAAACAAGTCGTCAAAACGTCGAATGTGCAAGTGAACTACAAGAGAAGGAGACGTACAAAAAAAAAGTTGAAGAAACTGGAAAAAGATATTGCTCAGTTGAAGAAGAAGAATAGATTTTTATTCATTTTATTTGTAATCTCAATTGCGTGGATGTATATCATGAAATAAGTACATTGCATGTGACTTTGTTGTATGTCCTTTAATGTGGAACAACAATTTGTAACGCAACTGTGTCTTTAATTAATATTTTGTTTCTTTGTCGTATTTTTTTTATTATTTTTTGATGTAAATAGCTGTCACAAGATTCTTGCATGTGACTAAACAGTAATTTTTTTGTTGCTTTGCAAGAACGTTGATGCACAAAAGAGTGTCTGAATTGACCATTCAACTGCTGAACATGGTCAAAAGACTCAAAATTGAATTAACGTGCTATGACAACATGTTACATGTCTACAGGTAGGCTGCAGCTTTTTTCAATATTGATTAGATTGGACTACACATCCTTACGACCATCTTTAATATGTGTACACGTTAGACAATGCATTTCACATCCTCATCATGATATTTCCTATTTATACACCCACTGCATTATAGAGACCTCCACAAACGTAGA